CATGCTTACGAACATGATTCATTATAATATTTGTTAAATCGATTATATGACCTTTTATTCAATATAAAATATATATCTGTGGAGAGATATAGCATATATTTTTATCATATCTAATAAGATTTTCTTACTGGTTTTTGTCTTCGAGCAACATCATTCTTCCTATAATGGCTTTAATAGTTTCTGGGACCGACATTGTAAACTCCGGGACAATTTCGTTTGCACCGGCAGCAATGAGATCGTGACCGTTCGCGTTTGTTTCAACACCGACCACATAAATCTTCACGTTAATAGCACGAACTTGGACAATCATTTCTATATTCTTCAGAATTAATATCCTTGCCCCACATTCCACTAACTCCGTTGGAGAAATGTCTGTTCTCATAAAAGTTAGTCTTCCTTCGCTCTCCATGTTTCTATGTTTTTTTTTAACTTGTTTAAGCTTTTGAAGTTATATTATCTTTCATGAAGACTAGTGCATATATATAATGTTTTTTCTACACTTGTAAATTTTATCTAACCCGACTCATGTGAAGTCTTTCTATTTTAAACCAAAATTTTCACCGGTTTAATTTTCTCACCCACTCATGTAATTTACGGCACATGTGGGAGTAAATAATCAACCAAGTATTTAAAACAATTAGATTTTAAAAGAAAAAAAAAATATATATAGATATGAATATTTATATTTTAATATAACTATAGTCGATCATGTGAAACCTAATGATTTAAAAAAAAAAAAGATACGAATAGCTTAGCTAGCAACCCAGTTTTAATTAATTTCTAATAGTGTCATGAAGACTAACTTTATATATAGTATTTCAACATGTTCTTTGTGTAAAAAATAACAATAATTAATTAAGAAATTTTAATAGTTACGTAACTGACACCTTACTCAGAAAATTAAATTGAATTTAGAAAAAACGAGTGGACAAAAACGATTTTTGTTAGGAAATGAGAGTGTCTGACTGTGTTCATGACTCAATACCCGCATCTAAAAACAAATTGTACATGTAGCTAATTAGTTAAAGAGAATTGTTAGTTGTGAACATGCAAGTTCATTGGCTTAATTTGGATAAAACAAAAACAGTACCCAATTTGCTTTTGTTAGTTAAAGATAAATGTTAGTTGTGCTTGTGCACATTGTATTTGACTATTTACACTTGCCAATGTGTTTCTTATTACGTCAGATATATTAATTACTGTTATTTCTCACATTGTTTTTTCAAATTTACAATTATTTACAGTTGCCCGTGCACATTTAAGTTCATCGGCTTAATTTAGATATATATATATATATATATATATATATATATATATATATATATATATGAAATATTTTTTAAAAAAATATATAACTATAGTCGATCATGTGAAACCTAATAATATTTTTTATAAACATGCAAATAGTTTAGCTAGCAACCCAATTTTAATTTTTTCTAATAGTGTCATGAAGATTAACTTTGATAATAATTAATACTCTATTTGTTTCGTTTTAATTGCCGTTTTAAATTTTTGCACACAGATTAAGAAAATAATTAATATTGTATGTTTTCAAAATAAAAACATATTTACTTATACACCTATCACTTTTCAACCAATGAAAAATAGAATGACATTTAAAATCAATATATATTACATTAAAATTATAAAACAACATTTATTTTGAAATAAAATTTTTATTTTAAAACGACATCTAATTTGAAACGGATGGAGATAGTCATAAAACATGTTCTTTGTGTTAAAAAATCTATAATAAAATAAAAATAATTAATTAAGAAATTTTAATAGTTACGTAACTTGACACCTTATTCAGAAAATTAAATTGGATTTGAAAAACATAACCACTGGACACAAAAATTGTTTGTTAGGAAATGAGAGTGTCTAGACTGTGTTCATGACTCAGTACCCACATCTAGAAACAAATTGTAGGCGTAGCTAATTAATTAAGAGAAAACTATAAGAATGTTACCGAAAAATTGGTATATTACTATATTAACATATACTAGATTCTTTCTCCGCGCTATGCGCGGATAATATATTTAAATTTTTTATTTTTATGTCAATTTTGTATTTAAAATTATATTTAACTAATTTTAAAATTTTAATATTTTATAATTTCAGTTTGCAATAAGTATTTGAATATAATTCATTGGTACTAATTTAGTTCTATAATTATCTTTAATATACCATTAAATTTATATTATTGTCAAATATGTTTCTATTATATATAACACAATTAAATAATAAAATATGAAGAATCTAGTTCGAGGTTTTAGACTTATGTAAAAAACAATTATGCTTATAACTTAGTTTTAAAGATTGGAATCTCATCTCCAATTATGATTTCTGTTTGTTTTCTTTCTCCAATTACAATGTATAGTTCGACCGTTTCTTTTTTTTTGTGGATCAAACTACTAATATCATTAGATAGAAAAACTTAAACTCCACGAATGGAGTGAGTGTTTGTGTGAGAAACAACTGATTTAACCACTAATATATTGAGATATTTATATTAGAAGGTATGGAGACTCTTCTCTATTGTATTAAGCTGGATATGATTTAGTTGTTGTCAATTGATTCTATATTTGTGATAACTGAAAATACAACTTTATGCCTTCCTTACATCATTCTTAGTTGTTACGCGCTGGGTTTTTAATTATTAGTTGTTTATTTTATTAAAATAATTTAGTTATAATGGCTAAATGTTATTATGGTAATTAATATATGAAATATTCTTTTCGTGAAATTTTAGAAAAATAAGTATAAAAAATATTAATGCATATTAATAATTTTATATATGAAAATACAATAGCCTTTTATATATAAGTTATTTAGTGGATCAAAATACGGTAATAATTGGATATTATGTTTACATTGTGGAAAGAGATACGTGTATTGTGGATAATAGTATTTCATTTGACTCATAATTATCTTTACAAAACTAAAAAGTAAAATTTTATGTTGCTTTGAATCTACAGTGAATCACGAACCGAATGAATATTATTTAAAAATGAAAGCAGATACATAAGTTTTAATATTAGTACAATGAACGGTCTATAATCTATACTTTGCATATTTTGGCAGGTATAGTTTCTATAAACATATTTTGGGAGAATATTATTTACTATACTAATTACTATTACTTATTTATTTATTTATTTTGAACATTATACTAATTATTTTGATGATACCAAGCTAAAATCATTTACAAAACATATTTAAATGTTAATATAAATTTCTATACATGTCAAATATATGGTTCGAGTTTTTCCGGATGTTCTTGTTGTGTCATACTTACTCAGTTGACTCACTCTTTCTACTTGTCAACGCTGCTGCGAATCCTCAATCTTTTACCTCGTAGATGTGTAAACTATGCTTTTGTTTACGGTTCCTACTCTTTAATTTTTGTGCAGCGAAGGATTGTGCATCTTTGAACCGATGAATAATTGTATAAGTTAAGCAGTATAAGTGTGCCAGACTTGTCGACAGATGATTGAAAGAGTATCTGGATGTTATGGGCTTGTTTTTTCATGTACTAATTTTCGATGTTGCATGATGCTTCTCGTAAAAAAAGGAATGGAATATTAGATTATGTTTTCCTAGGAAAAGGGAATGGTGTTTCTCAGTTGGAGAACATGGTATTAATACTTTTAAATGCAAAAATGACTGATACGCATAAAATGTTTCTAAACAGAAAAACTAAAAATAAGTTACAAAAAGAATAGTGAAAATAATAAAAGCAGAAACTTTGTAGTTCTCAGAAGTAATCGTGTCTGGAGATCTTACTTACAAACCAATGCATCGAAAGTGTCATCCTGTCTTGCAACATAAGCTCCCGTTGATCTCTTAGTGTTACTCATTTCGTGTCTTCTCTGCAGAATACCAATCTTCCTCCACAGATGCCACCTCTCCTTTGTTGCTTCCATCAACATAGCTGTCTTGTGGATTTGATGCCTCATTTCTTCCTTCAACATCACCATTACCAACACGATCACCATCATTCAAAGTGTGCTCTCAAGTCCAAGACTGTGGTTTCATGTGATTGCTCCAGCACCAGGCATATGATCTCCAGGCTGTCATTCCCACTCTGTCAATGTGTTTCTTGATAAGTGATAACCAAGGAAATAAAAGTTCATGTTACATATGAACCACATGTAAACGGCAAAATTTATGATGCTGCATCTATATATGTTCGTTAGAAACTCCAAGAAAAACACATAGAAAGGTTTCCAAGGCAGGCTTCAAGAGACAAAATGAAGGCAGCCGTAAAGGGTATTAAGATATACAAATGTGTCCATATTAAGCATTTTTAGTATAACCTGAGAGAAGCTCAGGGTTTTACCTCTTCTGGCATGAGAGGAAATAAGCCATTGTCCCTGCGCAAGTGTGAGTCTACAATAAGTTCTTCTGAAATAAACTTCTGCTTGATCATCTGAGGCCGCCGATACTGAATGAGTTCACTGTGAAGATCCTTTAAAATAGAAACGATGATGTAAGAAACCAACTCTACCGTTTAAAATACTTCCCTTTGTAACTCGAGCACAAATGGTAGACAGGAAAAAAAGTGTTTCTGATATAAACACTTTGTTTTATCAACGAATAAAGACGGAGAAGGTTGAAAAATTTTACCTGGAAAAGCTCAGCACAACCATGATATGCCAATTTGTCCCTCACTAAGCCAGGATGATAAGCTAGGAAGGATTAACCTGATCTACGTAACCTGCAATGTCAGGGAAGCACAGTTATTACAGAGTAGATGTACAAATCGTGAGGATAAGTATGGTGGCTTTTAGTTACGTAGTATTCCAGCTCACGATCCCAAGCTAAATTAAAAAGAAGCAAACCCTGCCACTTATTTATTATTGTTCCCAGCTAGGTACCCCATAGTTAAAGAAACAAAATCTTAGCATCATGTAATGTTCATTCCCTCCCCCAATAATCAAGATCCATAATTCATAACTATATCCTATTCTAGTCCCTCTAGCCATTTAAATTACAAATTAGCCAGAAGGACAGAAGCGTTTGCCATAGTGGATGCCTTGATTTTCCTGCACATTACAAAGATTAAAAATAAACCTTAAATACTTGAGAAATAAACAACAGCTCATCATATGAACCAAGACCAAATAAACTTACACGGTAAATCTCAAGATGAGCAGGCCAAGTAGAGAGCTTTTTCTTCCAGAGATGAACAGTTTTAGTAAGACGATCACAATGGACAAGAACGTTCTTTTCCAACAACACATTAGCAATATCTTCCGCATCAAGGTCTTTATCTTCTTCAAGAATCTCTTTACACTCGGGGTGATTCTTTAAGAAGCTGACAAAATATTTGCCTCTAAAGTATTCGTCTCGTGCTTCCTCCATAACAGCCCATCTTGATTCCAACCCCTTGTTGTCCCTAACTTTCTCAGCAAACAACTGAATTACAAAGGCCAACGACTCAAACTTTCAACAATATAATATTCCACACATGACATTATTAACATTACACAAGAACAGTGATGTGAATACACACATATCTGTGCATTTACATACAATTTAGCAAACATTAATCACATATTTATTCTCCATCAGATACTGAAACAGATCAAACAAAAGGAAAACGTAACCTAAACACAATGTTTTGTCTGAAAGATATTAGCGAGAATGATAGAAGAGAGAAGCAAACCCTCGGTGGAGGATCGGAACCAGAATCTGGCGGTGGAGGATGAAGATCCTGATGATTGTTTAACTCTCTTCTTCTCGGTTCCGCCCGGCTTCTTCATCTCTTCTTTCCGAGAAGATGAAACGAGAAGAAGAAAGCGAAGAAAGTGAAGAAACAGAGAAGCGAAGCATCGTCGGCTTGATAGCTTTCTAAGGTTCCCCGTTCGTGGGCCTAACGAGCCTCAATCTTCAACAAAACGAATCTATAAAATAAATGAGCCCAAGAGTATCCAATTTCGTGTACTGGCGTGGCGAAATGAAATATTTTGATTGGCCGAATATTTTAAAGGACGTGGACACCCTTATTGAGGAGTATATCCTCGTTTTATAGTTAGATTTTTCAAAAAAAAATATTAGAATGTTTGAGGCCCCTAATAAATACAATTAAGGTCTTTAATTAGTCTTTTTAATTCAGTTTATTTTAAACTACAAATTTATGTCACTAATTATTTTATCCATATCAGCATCTTAATTGATCAATATTCGAAACAACCATATGCTTTAATTACTTCACCTCCCGTGTTAAAAAAATAGAAAAAAAAAACAATTTTCTTTTATTGTTTTGAACAAAACCCTAACCATCGACATTGTGTTTATTGCCTCGAACTAACTGTCTTGTCTTCTTTGATATCGCTTTCTCGGAAAGCGTCGTCTCCAATCATCTTCTCTAAAATCACCGTATTCACCGCAATCGTATCTACGAAATTGTCTTCTCTGGTATGTTGTCCTGGAGTTACATATTATGTTTTGGTTGTGTTTGATTAATGTTGCTGAGTTTGATTTACGTTGTAACTGAGTTATATATTATGTTGTGGCTGATTTAATTTTCTGTTGCGGCTGAGTGATATATTATGTTATGGCTGCATTTTTTATTTATTTTTGGCTTGGTTATATTGTCGCCAAGTGATATAGCATGTTGTGATCGAGTTATTTTTATGTTATGACTATGTTATATATATTACGTTGTGGCTGAGTTATATATGATGTTGTGAATGAGTTATTTTTCTGTTGCGGCTGAGTTATATTATGTTGTGGCTGAATTATTATTCGGTTATGGCTGGGGTAATAATTGGTTATACGATTAGATGGATGTTTCTGAAGATCAAGCACTGGACTAACCAGCGGTCTTCTAATCTAGAAAATAAAGTTATTAATCATAATTTGCATATAGGAGAACTCCATCATGTTAGAAAAGCAATAAGACGTGATGTGTGGGCCGAGCCGAACTGGAGAAGTATTCTATTGGAGTAATTGCTAAGCTTGCTGGACGCAAAAATGTGTGGTTTGGTAGGACCTTACATTATCTATTATGTAGAAAACTGCGAGTACATAAGAAGGAGATTTGGAATGTCGCTGTTGATCAACCTATCAGGTAACTTACACAAATTTGGTGAGATCACTGGGTAAAACACAAATCCAGTGCCAACAGGAAGTTTTGAACTTGATCAATACAAAGCGTTTTGGGAGGAGTTGAATCTACCGCTTGGGATGGGACCCAAGTTAGAGAAACTGAAGCGAGCATTAGAGGTATGTCCGAGTTGGAGTTTTGAGAAGCGTAAATGGTTAAGGCTGTTACTTTTTCAAGCCATGAGACTTGGTGCTATGCATCATAATTCTAGGATACCATTTGAAAGTATAAAAAGAGTATTAGACGATGAAGCCATGATGACGTATCCATGGGGTCAGACTGCATATGAAGTTCTTGTTGACTCTTTTAAAATGTTGGATCCAGAAAGAGGGTCATTCTTTATAAGCGGCATGAAAGATGTGTTATTAGTTTGTTCGTATGAATCTGTCATTTGCTTTGAAAAACGTTTTGGGAGAGTTGTCAAAAAATGAAGAAATTTGTTTTTTTTTTTTGCTGGGGTGGAAAGCGTACACGTGCAAGTTTTGACACTCTATTCTATGAGGAGATCAGATATCACAGCGAGGTAAGGTTTAATGCTGAGTTATGAGTTATATGGTGAATGAGTTATGAGTATATAATGGTTGAGATGTTATTTAGTAGATGGCTGACTTCTTTGTTTTTGATAGCTAAACTATGAGTATATGAAGGTTGAGATATTATTTAGTAGATGGCTGACTTATTCGTTTTTGATGGCTGGGTTATGTGTTATTTGGTAGTTGAGTTATGTGGTATTTGGTGGATGAGTTATGAGTTATTGTTGTAGGTGTGTGTGAAGAAAATGGTTATGAAGGACTCATTAGAAGAGATGTTTCCTCAGTAGTCGGGTGAAGCATACAATCCACAACTCGTTAATTTGATAACATACATACATGCAGGTTGATTTGTTAAAGGGGTTTAGGAAGTGTAGGGGAATGAGAAGAAGAAAAAAAATGAAAGGTGGAGTTTCGTCAGAGGCTGAGCCACTCATTAAGAAGAAGAAGAAATTTAAGAATCAGAAGGAAGTGAACACTAGTGAAGATAGAGCTGATGCGACAGGAAAGGGTTCTGGCGAGGAGGAAAGTAGGGAAGATATGGGAAACAATGCTCTGAGCAGCATGATGACAACTCTAGAGAATATTTCTAGAAAATTTGATCACTATGAAGGTAGATTTCAGACGTTTGAATCGCGGCTAAACGCCAACAATTCCAAATTGGTTGACTTCACCCAGAACATGGATAAGATTTTTATTATTGTAATAGTGAAAGCTTCAATGGATGAGCGTCTGAGAGTTCTAGGTGTAGGAAAAAGTATCGAAATCTACGATAACTTCTCAAAAGTCCCCGAACAATATTTACAGTTGCCATTACCACAACCGCAATCTAACCAGTTTCCATCACAGCTGCAGAATACACAGCAGAAGTCTGTCAATAGTCGAATGTTAGCTAAGACCCCTGGTAAGAGTTTGGGGGCAAAAAAAAAAAAAAAGTTTAACAGAGGAGCTTGATAAGTTTAACAAAGTTTGGGGGCAAAAAAAGTTTAAGAGTTTTGGCACTACAATGCCTGCTAAAGCTGTTGCTCTTGATTTCTTTAATATTTCTCTTGCAAGGATGCTAAGGCTCCAGCCTATATGCGCGGCTACAGGTGCAGGCCAAAACAGACGGATAAGGAAGTATTACAAAAGAAGGAGACCATTGCCAAGAAGAGGACAGAGACTGCGTGAAAGAAGAAGGAGGCGGCTGAGTAAAAAAATTAAACATGCTGAGTTAAAGAATCAAGAAGCCACTGTTTAAAAGGAGTAAAGAAGAAAACTGAGGCTGAGTTAAAGAAACAAAAGGTGGTTGATATAAAGAAGGAGGCTCTTGTTCCAACCAGCACTCCACCACGTGCCAACGTAATAAGAGTAAATGTTAGGAGGCTGAGTGAAGAGGACAGTTTTGCGGATGTGATCGACGCATTTCTTGCAGTAGAAGCCGAATTGTTGCCGGAGTCTGATGTCAAGGAAGAGGAATTGATTAGGTCTGCCAGAATAAAAGAGTATCGGGAGAGAGGTGTTCAATTATCTCCACAAAGGTGTGCATTGATGGTAGATTCTCCAGCCCCAGTTTTTCGTTACATTGGAGACAATGAAATGACGTGCATGAAGAAGAATTTTGAGCTTTCATCAGCAATATATGATCCTCTAGAACCTGTTGATCCGACTAAATTGGAAAGACTTATGCAACACATTAACAACATTCAAACTAGATCACCAGGACATAAAAAATTAGCTGACTATGAGGGTGATTTCTACAGCATACTCATCACTGAAAGACCGTGGCCAGATTTGCAATATGGATGGCTATATGATAATGTAAGTCAACATTATGGTTGAGTTATATATTTTATTAAGCTTGAGTTATATATTCTGTTACGACTGCGTTATCTATTTTATTATGGTTGAGTTATCTATTCTATTACGGTCGAGATATATATTCTATTATGGCTGAATCATATATTCTATTATGGCTGAGTTATCTATTCTATTATGATGACTTAGTTAATCTTCTTTGTGTAGCAAGTCGCTACATATATTAGAGTCCTCATTGGAAGGTCCATGTGAGATCCCACCCCATTCTGGTCCAAGCGTATTGTTTTTATTGACGCTTGGTTCCTTAGATTATGGGTTCATGATTACAAACAGTTCATGATGAAACCTAGTCTGATAAAGTTCAAAGACACTGGTTATGAAGAGTTAATAAACGGTGGTATAACCATTGAGATTCCAACAAACTTGAAGTTGTTTGAAGATGTGGATCACTTGTAAGAGTGCTTCAAGTGTCAGGCGATCATTGGGTGGCGTTTCACGTGGAACTGATGAAGGAGAAGATTGATTCCTACGATCCAATCATTGGACATGTAACACCGGAAAGTGAGAAGAAAATTCAAATTGCATTTAGGCCACTAACTCAATTGATCCCTAGGATGTTGAATGATGGTATTCCTGACAATATCTTAAAGCCTAGTAAAAAGCAGTTCACATTTAGAAAGAGAAAAGGCAACTACATTCCATAAAAATTTCAAGTTAGCGATTGTGGGGTGTATTCGTTGAAGTTTATCGATTGTCTAGCGCTTGTTGTAACTTTTGATGGGATAAACGATAAAAGTGTTCAAAGTTTACGGATAAAGATGGCAGCAGAGATCCAAGTTGAAGGAGGAAATGTTGCGCTACACAATATGTTGGACGGTTGAACCTTCTATGTTGTATTTCACTTAAGTTGTGAAATTTTATGTGTAGTTGACTTTCACTTATATCTCAGCCTTATCATTTATATATTTCAGCCATGTCGTATATGTGTAACTCATTCATACCTTAAACAAACCCTAAAATCAAAAATGTTAATATAAACTCAGCCGTATCAGTTAATATAACTCAGATGTATTGCTTCATATAAGTTAGCCATCACTACAAGAAAATGTCACATATATAACATACGAAAAACGCTATTACAGAAGAAAAAAAAGATAACGTTATGGCGAACGCTATATCTTCCCCCGCAATTTTTTATCTATCAATTTATATAGCGCTTTTCAAATGCTATGTTAAAGTATTAAAATTTTCTTAACTTGCACAGTTTGTATAGTGCACATATCAAAAATTTCACTGAGGACATCTGTTCCAAAATATTGTTTAATAGTTTAAAAATCAGTGCAAAACATGGTCTAATATAAGAAAGAACTCAAATGAATATCATACCAATTAGGAAGGTGGGATTCAATTTCCCCTCAATGATATCTTCATAACTTGCAAGATCAACAAAGTGATTGTTATTTTTTAAATCAGATTTCGATATGACTGTGTCACCAGTGATTGTCATCTTGTACTTCAGATTTGTTGGTCGGTACGGCCCACCAGTCTGGGATACGGTGAAATTTTCAACAAACCGCCATTCTTCAATAGGTAAGCCTCGCTGAACCCGGAACATTTGACTTCTTCTGCATGCAACATGAATCTTACAACCCTGTGAGCAGGAGAAACAAGTATTAAAGTATGTTCAATTTTGTAATCTATATAAATATAGATGTGAAAAATAATTTCTTAGTATTTCATCTGCAAGTATGCACTCAAGTGTTTCTCCCCCAAAGTTTTGTTTCCACGGATGAAGCATCTTCACACGTACTCACCACCCGGTTTTGTAAGGCTTGACATCCTTGCACAGGTTACAACTCGCGTTACTCGACATTAGCTAATTGTGATTTTAGTTTTCGTGATAGGTTGAGAATGAAGAAATTGAGTCGTAGAGGGATATCTATATATATGGTTACAAAAATTGGTGAGCACGTTAAATACACACGGAAAATCTAACCATTAAGATATTTCTTGATTATATCTTTGATAGATATTTGGGTATATTCCTTTTCCTCTTACGAAATACATCAATATACTAGATGCACAGTCCCCGCGCAAGCGCGGGGGTTGGATACGTTGTTGTTGATGTGTTGTGTAGTTTTGTGTATGCGACTTTGCTGTTTTTTTTTTTTTAACATTTGTTCATCTGGCTTATCTATAATGGTGATGAATGAAACATTAGAAGTCACACAACTTGATTAGTCTGATAAAAGAATAAACATCGAATTCATATGGGTTGATATTTTCATATTTTATATTCGTAGTGATTTTATCGAGCATTCCCTTTATTAGTGATTTTATCGAACATTACTGTTATTAGGGCTTTCATGTAAAAAATAATTTAATGGAGACAAGACAAAAAAGGACATGTGTTTATTAGTGTAATTTTCTTTCTGAAATTATGTTGTATATATATATATTTTTTAATTGTGATGTATATGAGATTTATGGTCGATCTGAATGGTTCGGGGTTAATATTTATTATTGAAAAATATGTTTTTATTTTATTTAATGATTATAACTGAATTGAAATGATATTGGAGGTTAGAACATGATAACCTTTCTTATAAAAATATCTAAGATGGTCTCATAAAGTTTCAAATCCTTAAGTCATTTTGTATCCCAATAACCAGCATAAAAAATCATTCTGAATCTCCCTAAGCTTTTAGGTATCCCGAAAAGCCCAAATTAAAAATAAAAAAAATTACATGCAAGCACTGCATTTCGAACCCGCTCACTCGTGGTACCAACTTCTTGTCACCAACTTACAACACTGGACCATTTCATCACTCATCGATAACATTCAATCTTACAAAATATTATACATTTTTGTTTTCCCTAATAACACGCGTGAGGCCCGCAAACTTGCTGACGTGGACACGCTGAGGAGCTTCAAAAGTGTATTATTATTATATAGATTGTTATATTTGTTTGTGATAATTTAGGTTAATAATTAAGGAGGCATTTGATGGTTTTTAAGAGATAAGGAAGCAACATAAGAGATTTGGAAATATATAGCAGAGAGAAAAAAAAAGACGTGGGATGAAAGTTTTGTTTAGAAAAGTAAGGTAATCATATATTTCTAGATTGAATCCGAGAATCTAGTCTATTATGTCTACAAATTAATTCAAAAAAGAATATTTATGGTGTATATGATTACCAGTTGGTTAGGATATTTGATATTCTCACGAATATTTGATGTTTTAATAGTTTGGTTAATTGAACCAGATGGTTAGGATATTTATGGGATAAGTTAACCGGTAAGATGCATGTCATTGATTTCAAGATTATAAATAATATTATTACTATATTTAATTAATCTCATTAAAAAACACTTCGGTTTGGTTCGGTTTAAAACTAAACCCAACCAAACCATTAGGGGTTGATAAAATCTCGAACCAAATGGTTTAGAAAAATATTTTGGTTCGATTTGGATCGGTTTGGGTTCGGTTGGGTCGGTTTGGTTTGGTTTGGTTCGGGTTTTTTGCCCACCCCTAATCAAAAGTACGAAAAAATCATTAATGAAGACAGCAAAGAAAACGTTTATCCTCTTAACCGTGTGTCCAAACAACAGTAAAAAAATATAAGTCTACTATCATTGTGTCCAAACATGATCAAAAGGTACTTCAATTTTAATATTGTAGATATCTACTCTATTAAAGTAAAGTCCTAATTTTTATCAACCATTAGAAGTTGTCTTTTAAATTTTGGACCCATAGAAATTGTTACTAGACTATTTATGTTATGGACATTATTAGTTTATTACTATAATATTGTTACACGCTTCGTACATAATGGAATCCTATAACGTAAATTAAACCAAATCACCTATTTAAATTAAACCAATATCTTAAACCGAACAGAAACATAAACCGAGCATCATCTTATCTATTATATTAATTGGACCTCTGTATCTATAGGTATGTCAACTAAGTATAATTTAAACATATAACGAGCTTAATCTAATACTAAATATAATTGGTCCTCTCCCTCTATTCTATACTATCTATTTGTTGTATACCTCGATACTAAACAGAAGTCAATGTGTACTCTGTTTCTAACCAGATGGTCTGTTCGATGATCCTTTTTCTTCTCTCCAGTTCTTATACTGCATTCAATAAAATGTAATTATGTCCAGTTAAACACAAAGGTCGAAGACACACTTAGATTATATGTTAATTTATATATATTAATCTAATATGTTGCAGTATAATTACATTTTGTTATATCTAATAATTTTGTGCACACAATCTTGATAAACTTCAAGAGTAGATAATCTTCAAGAGTCGATTCTAACCATATTAAGATTTGATTTAATCTAATATATTCATATCTTAACTTCATTTAACAACTCCTACACTAAAAAATTGCGAGTTATCTAATATTAAAATATGTCCTTAACAA